ATCAAATTGCACAACATATGAAATACATAATAACATATATTTTAAGTTAAATTTATCCTTCCAAATTTTTTCTTACAAAATTAAGAAAAAATCAAAATTTTTAATTAGCTTTCTTTAAATGAAATAAATTTGAAGAATTTTGATTAAATCACCGCTGGGAGATAATTTTGTAATTAAAATTAAACATTGAAAGGATTATATATTTATAATTACGAGTACTGCGCGTATAGTGTAATATAAAATGTAAATCTTCATTATATATTAGATTTAATATATCCATGTGGTTAAGTATAAAATTAAATCTTATCTGAAAAGAGTTATAATGATAAAAGGCGGGATAAATCTAAAATTCATAATCAGAGCAATGTGAGTATAAAAAATGGCAAGCTGGATATAATTAACAAACGCATTAAACGCGGAAGTGCGTTGAAATGCAAGAAGTAATGTGATCAAATTAACACTGTAATCTTTCATGCATACGTTTAAATAATACAAGACAATATCGCTTTTATTTTCGTGCTATTTTGACTAATAAAATAATTAAAGAATAATAATAAACTGACATTAACAAATTAATGTTTTATTGTTCTTCATTTTGGTAGTAAATAAAAGAAATTATTGATCTGTTGGAGCCAAGTTGTGTTTTTTTTTACTTTCAAATAGAACATAAATCGATTTTCCAAAAATAACCCTTATTCAAGGAAAATCAATCAATAAAAAATTGTTTTTCAAAAAAATTAGTTTTTTTACAAAACTAATTGCAACATTTTCTTGACCCTATAAGAATATTCTGATTCACTCTCAAAATTATTAGATACTCAAAAAATGTTTTATTTAAATTTATTTACAAATTTCTTCAAAAGACAAATTATCCGAAAACATCAATAGTTTTTTTTAAAATAAATATTTAATCATTTTTTTTTCATTTCAATTCAATTAACAATTTCTAGAATTTTTAACTAAAATTCTACTTTCAATCAAAAACATCAATTATTATTCAATTAAACTTTTTAAAAAAAATTAATTCTACAGAATTGTTAGATAAAAGTACGAAAAACAATAATTTCATTCTACGAGAAATTAATTATTTAAATACAAAAATAAATAATATTGAATGTTTCTTAAAATTTAATTTTTACCAACAATTGTACTAACAACTTTTGAAAATATTTCATTTCTTTTAAGGAATTTAATTAAAATTTTAATTAAATTTATTATTTTAAAGAATTTTATTAAATTTTTTTTAAAATAATTGAAATCCTGAGAAGAATTTTAAAAAAAATTCTGTCAATAATTTAATTCTTGAGAAGAATTTCCCTATCTATTTATAAAGATAATTTAATTCTTGCCAAGAATTTTTAAAAAATTTTTTAAATAATTTAATTTCTACAAAGTATTTTATTACTTTTCAAAAGAATTGAATTCTTCTGTTGAATATTGATATTTATAAAAATAATTGAATTTTGGAAAAGAATTTTATTAAAATTCCTTAAAATAATTGATTTTATGGGAAGAATTTATGCAATTTTGTTGTTTATCAAGCTAATTGAATTCTTTTGCAAAATTAATTAATAAATTTTGAAAATAATTGATTTTCTGCGACGAAATAAATGTTATCTATGAAAATATTTGAATTATTGCAACGAATTTTATTGTTTTATTGAATAATTGAATGTTTCTTAAAATTGAATTCTTTCCTCAAGTTTTCAGGGTGGCCACTTTTTTTGTAAAAAAAAATTCACGGTCATTTCCCGGTCATAAATTATTTTTCCCGGTCATAAATAATAACTCTGAAAATAAATTATTCCATGAAAGATTGAAAGAATTTCCTGATTTTTAGACAAAACTTTGACTTTTTCCCAAACCCTAAAAATATTTTAGTTTACTCTAAAAATAGTTTTGAACTTAAATAGATTTTTTGAAATAAATATTTAATTATTATTCATTATTTTTCCATATAGTAGGTATTCAAATTTCAAAAAAAAATTTAAATTTCAAATCCTTTAAATTTGAATAATTTTTAAGAATTGCTACTGCAACTTATTAAAAATTATTTTCAAAATTTCAATTCAATTATGTATATTCTAGAAATAACTAAAATTTTTCTAAAATCCACTTGTTTACAAGACAATTTCATGAAATTTTGAATAATTTGAAAATTTCTCAATTAAATATTACATATTTAAAAACATAACTAATTTGAGAAAATGTGAATAAAAATATTTTTAAAGACTAAATTATTCAGAATTTTTAATTAAAATCTTTTAAAATTCAACTTTTCTAAAACTTCAATTTGAAACTTTTTAAAATTCAATCTATAATAATATTAGTAATATTAATTTAACATTCTAAAAAATCGAAAAATTTGCTTATGAATAATTGTAAAAAAACTAATTGATATTAATGAAAAATACGGTTTTTTAAAATTTATTTTCTAAGAAAAGAAATTTTATTTATTTTTATTTACTTTATTTATTATTCAAAAATTCATTTTTATAAATTTCGTATCACTTTTGTTCTAATTAGTTCAAATTTTTAATAATTCTTATTTGTTTTGTGTTTTGTTATAATATTAATTGCAAAAAAATTTTTAAATTGATTTATTTTTCATTATTTTATAGGATGTGAAATTTTTTCTCTTTGAAATTTTTTTGACAAATTTAATTAAAATTATATTTTGTTTAATTATTGTTAGAAATAGAAAGAATTTAAAATTAAATTTAATATTTTCTTTTTCTAAGTCTGTTACGTTGGACAACAAAATTCATAATTTTCTTATAAATTCTAGAAATTGAATATTTTTATAGTACTTTTTATAAAATTCTCTGACAAAATATAAATAGATTTTATAGAAGATCATTCAATCTTTTTTAATGAAATATAGTTAATACCTAAGTCTTAAAATAAATATTTCTATTTTTTCTCACAAAGTAATGTGTGTTTTTAAAAAAAAAATTCCAAAATCCCGGTCAAGATCAAAATTCACTGTCATTTCCCGGTTTTTCCCTGTCCAAAAAAATTCACTGTCATTTCCCGGTTTTCCCGGTTTCCCGGTCCAGCGGCCACCCTGAGTTTTAATAAAATTTTTAATAATAATTGCATTTTTCAAGGAATTTATTTAAAATTGTATTAAAAATATTTGATATTCTGCGATGAAAATAATTGAATTCGCAAATGAAATTTTATTCTTTATGGAAATAATTGAATCTTTTCATAGAATTGTATGAAAAAGTTTTTTCTATAATTAAATCTGTTAATAAATTTTATGAAAATACTAAATATTTAAAAACATTGAATTGCGAAAAACTTTTCAAAATAATTGAAATGTTGCAAAGAATTTTATTTAAATTTTTGAAAATAATTGAATTTTTGGCGAAAAATTTTGCTATTTATAAAAATAATTGAATTCTTGACGACATATTCATTAAAATTTATAAAAATAATTGAATTCATGCAAAGTATTTTATTAAATTTTGTTTAAATAATTGAAATTTTGCCAAGAATTTAATTAAAATTTTTGACAATAATTGAATTCTTGAGAAGCAAATAATTGAATTTTGGAAAAGAATTTCATTGAAAATCCTTAAAAAATCCTTAAAATAATAATTAGTTTTTGAAAAATTCGATTAAAATTGTAATGAAAATAATTAAAATTCTGAGATAAGTTATTATTATTTATGAAAATAATTGAATTCCAAAGAAAAATTTTATCATTTTTGAACAATATTTAATTTTTGCGAAAAATATTATTATACTCTTGAAAATAATTTAAATTTCTGCAATAGTTTTGTAACTTTTCCGAAATTAAATTTTTTTCATGTTTTTAACTAAAATTCTTCCAGAAATCCATTATTTTTAATAGTTTTTGAAAAAGTTCTTTGAGAATTTTCAAATTCATTTGTTCACAATTCAATTTTACAAAGTTTTAATTATTCGTAAATTCTTCAATTAAATATAATCGTAGATAACAAAAACTTGAAATAATTTCAAACAAAAATCCGCAATTAAACTTTCTTTTAAAAGAATTAATTCCACAGAGTTAAAAAAAATAAAAAATTCAGATTTTCAAAGATTTTAATTTGAAACTTTTTCAATTCCTAAAAAGAATTTTATTATTTTCGAAAATAATGGAATTTGCTGTAAAAATTTTATTATTTATAAAAAATAATTGAATGATGTCGAAGAAATTAAAAAAAAAATTGTAAATTAATTGAATTTCTGTGAAATTTTTATTATTTTATAAAAAAAAAAGGAAAGATTTGTGTAGAATTTTATTAAATTTATTAATTTATTTTTTAAAATAATTGAATTCTTTTGAAAAATTTTATTAAAATAGCAAACATTAAAAATCATTGAATTGAGGAAAATTTTTGGAAAATAAATGAAATTTTGCCAAGAATTTTATTATAATTATCGAAAACAATTGAATTTTGGAGAAGAATTTAATTATTTCTAAAAATGATTGAAATTTTGACGAGAATTTTAAAAAGTTTTTTGAATCAAAAATTTAATTAGAAAAATTATTATTCAAAAATAATTTTTTAGTTATTTTGACAAAAAGCGAGATTTTTAAGACATACTAGGATAGATCCGATTTAAAGTAATTCTTTACTGTCACACATTGTTATTTAATTTTTAATTGATTTATTACATTCGTTGATATTACAAATATAAAATTTTTATAATCAAACAACTTCGATAATTATCAAATTTCAGAATATTGCAGAAGCAGAATTCTGCAATTACTTTCAAGATCTATGTTATGGCCCTATACTTTTATTCGAAAATCGCTAATAATAATTGAATTAAGAGGTATACTAGGTACAAAAATAATTTAATATTTATAATAATATAGATCTATAGGTTGATCTTGATAACCTCCTTCTTTATTAATTATTTAGAATGTTGAAAAAAAACGATCTCCAAAAAAATTTAATAATTTAATATTAATTTTTTGTCATTTAGCAGGTAGGTACTGATAAATTTTTCAATTTTACATTACATAAATTATAATTTTTTATGTTAAAACTTATCAAGCATCAGTGATAAATTGTTTAATTTATCAGACACTTATAACATTTGTTAAAAATTTCAGTAAACTAATTTATAAATTTTGTAAATTACATCAAACATCAAATGTAAACTGTTCGAAATAAATATACTATTCGATTCAAAAAATAAGAAATGTACGTATTAAATCTTTAGTCTATTTCGTAATGGAATTGTACCGTTTTTTTCATTTCCCATTCAATTGGTGAAGCGATTATAAATCGATGTAAATCCGCAGTGTCAATGTATGATACAATTTCATTAAAAACAAGAATAGGTAATTGAAATTTGACAATAGTTCGAAAACACTCGTAACTTAATTCTATTAATCGCTTCTCAAGTTTTGCTTTATCTATACGAACCCCTATTCTGCGGGCAAAATTCGGAAAAGAAGTTTGAAAATCAAATGAATTTATAAAGTCGAGAAAATTTTCATTTCGCATTAAAATAGAAAGTCGCCTATGTGACATAGTTTGAAGATCGTAAATTGTCACATCAGTTTCACTAACTTTGATTTTTTTTAACTGATCAATTTCGTTATAGAATTTACTATCAATGAGAGCTAAGATGTTTGTATAAACGCTGTGATCAAATGTCAAATCGAATATTTCACTGTGTGCTGATAGAATAGTTGGACATTTAATTAATGCATTCATTTCCTCTGGACGATAAGTGGCACCATAGTGTAGAAGAAGTTTTGTAATAAGTAAGTTATTTTTCAACGCGCTAGCAGAGTAAAGTGGTCTGACGTAATCGAAGTAAGTAATACAATTAACTTTAGCGCCAGCTTCTAGAAGCAATTTTACGCATTTGAAATTATTCTGATTGATTAAGGCACAAAGTGGAGCTTTCTCTGCGTCAGTGCAAAAATAAACATTTACATTGGCACCACGGTCCAAAAGTTCCTTGACAATAGTTGGGCATCCTTTTTCACAGGCATAATCCAGTAACGTACAATCCTCAATCAAACAATTATTAACGTTACAAAAATTTGGTAAGAAATTGTAAAAAATATCGATAAATCCATATTTAATAGCACCGATTAATATATGATATTCAATAAATTCTTGAATCATTGTTTCATAACAGGTTGTTTCTTCTTTATTTAAAAGGCTTTGTACAATCATTCTATGTTCTTCCATCAATGAATGATCTAAAGTAACTGAATCAAATTCCTTTGGAATTGTCATATTTTTTACATCTTCGGTATTAATCCTAAATCCATGATTGTAGAATAATTCACTCATTAGTTGATAGTTTTTAATTTTTTCACCATAGTCTCCGGAGCTTTCCAAACCATTTAATGTCTCAAAATAGGGAAGCAGAAATGAATAGCAAAATGCATTTTTGAGAGTCATATCCCAATTATTTGGTCTTTCACCCAGAAGAATTGTTGTTTCAACCAAAGATCGATTTTCAACGGCGTAATTTATAGGAAACAGACCACAATTATTTTTAGCTGTTAATTCAGCACCGTAGTTGACGAGTTTCTTTAAAAATTCTCCACATTCTCCAAGAGATATATTTTTCGCTGCCAAATGCAATGGAGTGTCTCCTGTATCAGTCGTAGCGTTAACATTTGCACCTGCTCGTAAAAGAAGAAGTAAAATTTCTTCATTACGTTCTTGGCAAGCAAGATGTAGAGGTGTTTTTCCAAATTTTGTCTCAGCATTCACGTCCGATCCTCTGGATAGAAAAAATTCAACAATATCACAATTCTCACTTTCCACCGCTCTATGTAACGCTGTATAACCACTAAAATCCTTTTCATCAATATCACCACCATCATTAAGAAGCATTTTTATTTCATGCTGCAATAAAATCCGCCTATAACTTTTAATACACACATGATGAGGTGTAAAACCAAACATATTATACACTTTCAAATCAGCTCCATTGTCAAGTAAAAGTTGAATAACACTTTCAGTATAGTTTAAATATTTTGAAACAGCAATATGTAGAGGAGTATTTAAGTCACAATTTTTTGCATTAACATTAGCTCCTTTTCTCAGTAAAATTTCCATGATTTTCATATCTCCACATTCTACTGCAAAATGAAGTGGAGTCTGACCGCGAGCTTGAGTTTCGTCATTTACTTTAACAGGATATTGCAAAAGAAGTGTTGAAATGTCGTGAGAAAAACCTTTAAGCGTACGACAAAGTAGTGAATAACCAGAAGATGATGCGAGGTAATCATTACAATTGTTTTGATAAAGGATATTTCTTACTTTCAACTTATCACCAAATAAACATGCAGTTTGTAGAGACAGGATTTCTTCCGATGACATTTTGTCACTTTATTCCTTGAGGATTTATTCTGGATTATTCAACTGCATGAAACTTGACAAAATCTGTAAACAAAGAGTTTGTTAATTTCACTGGAATCATTGAATTCAATTTTATTATTTAATTGGCAGAAAATATGAAAAACTTTTATATTTCTGATGCGGTCCGCAGGAGGCGCATAATTATTCATCCCCAAATGTCATTTAACGAATATCGTTATTGTTCCGAAATGTCATTTTTACGAATTGTCACTTTTACGAAATGTCACTTTTGTGAATCGCCATTTTTACGAATTGTCACTTTTGCGAAAAGTCATTTTTTCGAATTGTCATTTATGCGAACTGACATTTCGTAAAAATGACAATTCGAAAAAATGTCAGTTCGCATAAATGACAATTCGCAACAATGACTTTTCGCAAAACTGACAATTCGTAAAAATGGTATGTCGAAAAAATGACTTTTCGCAAAAGTGACAATTCGTAAAAATGGCAATTCGTAAAAATGATATTTCGAAAAAATGACTTCGCAAAAGTGTTAATTCGTAAAAATTATATTTCGAAAAAATGAAATTTAGGGAATAATCATGCGCCTCGTCCGAACCGTCCGAAGAAAGGTAACTAAGAAACAGATAATTTTAGGTTATGTTTATTTTTAAAAAATAAAAATTCACAAAATTATAAATAGTGCATATATGAACGACACATTTCTTCTAATAACTTCTAAAATTTTCTATAGATTGTTTTAAAAAACAATTTAAGAATCTATATTAATAAAATCAGACTTCTGTCTGTACATTGCTCCAAACTTAAAAATTTTTATATATTTTTTCGTTTTGAGACATTAGAATTCGAAAAATGCAAAAAAAATTTATGTCTGTCTGTCTGTATGCAAAACTTTGTTCTCGCATCAATTGAAAACGGTTTAACCAATTAAAGTGAAATTTGGCAGTCTATTAGGTATTAACGTAACTTAAAATCATAACCTTATCCGATTTAAAAATATTAACTTGAACGAAAGTTATGACATTTTTCCAAAAAAATCGAAAAATCAAAAAAATGCAAATTTTTTATTTTTTGTAAAATGAATGCAAAACTATCCTTAGCTAACTTTTTCAGATAAATACAACCCATTTCTACAATAAAATGTTTAAAAAAGACGTATTTTGACATTTTTTTTCGTTTTTGCTTCCTCATGAGGAAGCTTTGCATTGGTGACGATTTTCAATTTTTCAAAACAAGGTTATATGGACTCATTTTCATCTAGAACATATGTATATTCAATTATGAGCAAATGTCCAGATGTATGTGTGTGTGTATGTATGTGTGTATGTGTGTGTGTATGTGTGTATGTGTGTGTGTGTATGTCACAAAAATTGTGTACAAATTATCTCAGACAAATTTTGATGGATTGTCCTGAAATTTTGCAGGTTTATTGCAGTCATTAATACCTGAAATCTGACACAAGGATTTTCAAAAATATGTACAAAATTTTTTTTTATACAATTTTTTTAAAATTCAGAAAATTTTTTTTTTTGTATTTTCTGAAATAATTTTTTTATTTGTTAATATTTTTATTAATTATTCTCAAAATTACATTCCTGGCAAGAAAACGAATCGATTGATGTATACAAAGTATATATTTTATCAAAATTTATAAAATTAATAAATATTTTTCTTTTTCACAAAAAATTCAAATTTGGTATTTTTTTCATAATTAATTTAATATTAATATTAATATTTTGAAATGATTATTCTATCATAAAATAGAAGCAATTGGCAAATGAAAGTGTAAATTTCACCAAATATTTATACAACAACTTATAAATGATTTATATAATTTTATTTTTAACCAATCTTCTGGACGAACCCTTTTGTACATAATTTTTCAAAAGTTTGCAAAACCGCAATTTTTATATATTGAGGAAGCTTAATGGTCATAAAATGAACAACTTGTTTAGATCAACTTTTTTCTAAAAAAATAGTGATTTTTAATCATTAAGCAAGCTTTTCAGGAAAAGTTATTAAAGTTTTTTATTTAAAGATCAGTATGTAAAGTAAAAAATTTGCTACATTAGACAAAAATAATGAAGCTAAATGCCATAAAAGAGAAGAAAAAATGTTGAATTTTAAGAAATTCGGTTTTTTGAAATTTTCATAATTTTAGATTTTTTACCAAAGGGTGGAGACTATTAAATAAGTAAATTATTTTTGAAGAGCACAAAAATAATGAAGCTAAATGCCATACAGCAGAAGAAAAAATGTTGAATTTTAAGAAATTCGGTTTTTTGAATTTTTGCTAATTTTCCATAATTTTAGATTTTTTACCAAAGGGTGGAGACTATTAAATAAGTAAAGTGTTTTTGAAGAGCCCAAAAATAATAAAGCTTGATGATATAAAAGAGAAGAAAAAAATGTTAAATTTTAAGAAATTCGGTTTTTCGAATTTTTGATTTTTTGCTAAAAGGTGGAGACTATTCAAATAGTAATATTATACTACTGAAATAGCTAATGGTAACTAATTATTAATTTTCCGGTCAAATTAAATTCCCGGCTATTTTCTGAGTTTCCAGATTGGTAGAAACATTGTTAAATGTATTGGTAGAAACTAAAACCCGTCGAATACGGGTACGACAGCTAGTTTATAATATATTATAAATGAGTATTTGCAAAATTTAGAACAAAAAATTTTAACAATAGTAACCGGTTCGTTTAAAATATATAATATAATATTCCAACCTGACTAGTATACTTGTGTGAGCGTGTTAGTAGCTTGGGTACCTAGGTACCTAGGGATGACTATAGTACAGTACAGTACAGTCAAGCAAAAGAATGCTATACAGTTGATACTATAGCATTCTATTAAAATTTATTTTTGAGAGTGACTGTCGTGAGCGTACTGCCTTAAGGTATCATTTTTCTCAGAATTTTTATAAATTTTAACAATATATTACATTACCTTATTGTTCAAAAAAATCTACACTCAAGTTTAAAGAAATATCTGCGTTCTTCTTCGTATTGAAATTTTTCTCACTACTTTTTTAAATCTTTTAAATACAAGAATCTCATGTTTCTCGAACAACTTTCGCGAAGCTATAGAGCGTTGGTCTTTAATGGCCTTTCTCCAACAGGTTGCTAAAAGTCTTGCGACTGCGTTGCGCAGGTTGCTATGACAATATATGCTATAAAATCAGCGCAACGCAGTCATTCGCAAAGCAATGCAGATTTTTAGGAACCTATTGAAGAAAAGCCTTTACGTGCCTACGTGGTGCTACCGTCTGTACCAAAAACATAATGGTTCAGAATGTCTATTAAGCCGAATTTACATTTTAGAAATGACAAGTTGCTCCAATCCTCAACTACCTAAATTGTACAATTGCATAAAATTGAAAAGTAACTAAAATTTTATGAAAGATAAAACATAAAAATTTTATTTTATTACCTATTTATAAAACACATGTTAAAATTTTATATATAAAATTTATAAATGAAAAGTATGCATATTATTTATAACTTAAAATTTAATTAAAATGTTGTAATCTAAATAAATAAAATTTCAATTTTAAGAATAACTTAGTTTCAAATATTTATAACGATTTGTGTATTTCTTAAGTAAATTGCTTTATTTTTAATTTCATAGCTAATAGTGTATTAAAATTTATAAAAATTTAATCAATATACTAAAAGTATGTAGATTGTAAAAAATTTTTTTTATTAAATATACATAGTTAAATTATTTACAAATATGTAAAAGGAGCTTCCTCGAGGTGTCAATTGCCTTCTTCAGAATGAATATTGCTGAAACATATATGAACCTTATTTTTACATGCGAATTTAACAGGTGAATGTTATATTTAATTTGAATCGTGAATTTCGAAAAGGGTTTAACTCTGAAAATCGTAAAAGTCACTTTCACATTACACTACTTATTTATAGTGAGAACGACTTTTACTATTTTCAAAGTTGATCCCATTTAAAAATTCACGATTCAATTATAAAATTTATCAGATTTTTTAAGTCTAATTTAAGCTTTGAATATTACAATATTTTGTTAATTATCAAAGTTAATTATCAAATTTAGCTTGAAAAATATAATGACTAAAATTTTTTTCTTTTTACTTTTAATAAACTAATAATTGTTAAAATTAAACTTTAACGATAAAAATAATTTTTAATTTTTTAATCAGAGGCTCATTTTAATCGCAATTTTTCTGTAGAATTGACTTTTTCCCTGACCCTAAAGAATACTATTACTTCCCTATAAGAATTAAGATTTTCAAAAATTTCAAATTCAAACCTTTATGAAATTCAACAACTTATAGTAATTTAAATTTCCATAAAATTTTTTAAAAAATAAAAAAATAATTAGAATTTTGCAAAGAGTTTTATTAAAATTATAGATAAATCAGAATTTTAATAAAATTCTAGAAAAAAAATAAATTTTGCAAAGAGTTTTATTAAAATTCATGAAAACAATTGAATTTTTCAATAAATCTTTTAAAAATTCCTGAAAATTGAATTTAGACAAAAATTTTATTAAAATTCCTGAAAATAATTGAATGTTGCAATAAATTTTTTAAAAATTCCTGAAAATTGAAATGTGGACAAAAATTTAATTGAAATTCCTGAAAATATCTTGAATTTTGGAATACATTTTTTAAAAATTCCTAAAAAATGGAATTTAGACAAAAATTTTATTAAAATTCATGAAAATAATTTAATTTTTCAACGATTTTTGATAAAATTCATTAAGGTAAAAGTACCAATTATGGGACGCTGTTTAAGCTAAACTAAATTTCTATGATAAATTTCTTGGAATCGGGAGTGTTAATATGAATAATTAGGGTATAGATTGAAAGATTGATATGTTATGAATAATATTTAGACCCTAAAATGGTTATTTTTCATGAAATAAAAATAATATTAATTAAATTATGAAACTCTGCACTGCACTAATTATGGGACTATGATTTCTGTATGTACGGGTGTCCCATAATGAATGTTCCTATTATGAGACATTTATTTAATTCAATAAGTAATTAGAATTCTATTAACTTATCCTAATAATTTGAATATTAATTATAAAGAATAAAATACAATAAACAAATTCTGGTTTAAAAAATAATTATAAAACTAATTTTTCTGGTAGAAAATTAATGCGAAAAAACTGAAAATATTTGAGGTTATGTTTGCTGTATATTTCCTGTGTGTCTCATAATAGGGATAGCAAATAATAAGTGCACCTAATGTGGGACGGTAGTCTGACGAAAAACTTGGCTTACCTTAATTTAAAAGCTAAAATGCAAATAAACATTTCTTATTAAATTAAATGCTATACACAAATAATTATTCTTTTAACGTGTAAAATTTTTTGAAATAAGTAGAAATTTCTTATGACCAATTTTAATTGCATTTATTTTATTTTTTGTAATACTGTCTCATAATAGGGACAAAATTGTAAATTGTCCCATAATTGGGACCTTTACCTTAAAATAATTAAATTTTGCAAAAAAAATTTACTAAACAAATAAATAATTGAGTTTTTAAAAAGTATTTTTAAAAAAATAATCAAATTTTCGATGAATTTTAATTAGAAATAGTTTCTCAAAAATTCTAAAATAGTAAATTTAAAAAAATTTTAAATTACTTTGTCCGAAGGGAATTGAATCTTAAATAATTATGATAAAACAATTCTAAGAATTAGTTATTTATAAATATTGTAAATTGTAATATAATTTTTCGAAAATAATTGAAGAATTTTTATATGATTAAAAAAGAGTAATTCTTTGAAGATTTTTAATTAAAAATTTTGAATATTATTATTTTATCCAACATTTAATTCTAGAATTAAAAATAATTTAAAAAATTGTTAATGTTATTATTTTGTGCATGCATTTGAATTTTCGGAAATATGTATTGAAAAAATTGAATATCGAAAGTATTGAAAATAATTGAATTTAAAAAAATTAATACCAAATAATTCAGAGAATTACTTCTTTTAAAACTATTTTAATATTATTTTTAGAACCTAATTTTCATTTTCATTAAATTTACACTTGAAGATTATTTATTAAAATTTCTGAAAATTATTCAATTATTTCCAAATATGTATTTAAAAAAAGCAAGGTGAATATGTATTAATTGAAGTTGGCTCGGTCCACATGCTCTTAAGTTGTTATTTAAATTTTCTTGCAGATGCTGAAAGAGAACAGAAAAATATATGAGAAACATCAAATACAAATTCAAAAAAAAAAACAATAAGGGGTGAAAATCTATGAATATCCAAAAATTGTCCACGTGGAAATTGAACGGTGCCTAAATGGGTTAAAATTAAAAAAGAGAATGAAAATACAAATAAATTAAAAAAACAAAATTATTTACCTGCAATGGGCAAAATTTACTGCTCGTCCTTTTGGTTCCATCCATCTTCATCAGACAAGAACCTTCTCTTGTGAGAAGTATTCATATATGGCCTTAAAGCCCATTCAGTATCAGCTGCAGCAATAGAATCCAAAGTGCCCAATTTAATATCATAAAGTTTCAATAAAAATCTCGGTCCCACTTCGGTCATCTCCACATTTCTTCCTTTCTCCTCCCGATAAGTGTGATGTCTGAAGAAAATATAATCATCATGATTTGCAAAAGTGATGACTCTCTTGCTCTCCTTCTTTGGCACAGGAAATAGATATTTCAAAATACTCATTGTCCTCTCGCCGAGTTTTGTCTTAAAATTATGAAACACCAAATGTGGATATTCCTCGGACATTGTTGAAATACCGGGAATGTCATGTCGCATTACCACTCCGGACATGGTGAAATACGCCGTTGGACCGTGAGGAAGGTGGCAAATGATAAGTGTGTCCGGTACTCCTCGATGCTCGTGAACGATAATAAAGTCAGTGACATCGTTTGCCCTGCAGGCGTGAATTAGTTTCTTCATTTCGTAATTACCACGATTCATGCGCTGTGCATTGGGAAAAATAAGACGAAGTTCCTTCACAAACATTTTTAATCGTGCACTTGGATCGCGGGAGGTTGTGATGACAATTTTTGGATCCTCGACTCCTGCCCATCGGTACTCGTCATCCTTGCTGTCGCCCAGGGCACCTCCCATTTCTGTGCCCATTGTCATGGCGAGTTGCGGTCCTGCATCCTCCCATTCTGCTTTTCTTTGCAAATGAAGAGCAGTTTTCCTTAGATCTGGATGTATGGGCACATTTTCTTCTAAACTCTTTTTCAACTTATCTTTTTTCTCCTGTATAGTTTTTAATTTTCCTTCAATGGATTTTCTGTATAGGTACTCACGACGCAGACGAGCTTGACGTCTTATCATGTTGGAAGCAAAGTGTAAATAAACTTTTCACTTGATAAACAAAATTAACTTTCACAGAGTGTTTTGGCGAACAATTTTGAGGTTAAATTAACCTGACGCAAGCACGTGGTGGTAGGAATATAAGGGTCTGTACACAGTGAGGTAGATTAATGGTGTGCTCACAGTCACAGTTCGCGGGCAGCCTGGAGTGAAAGAGATAGACAATTGGAGTAAACGAGAAAGAATATCAGGGTTCAGGGCTCAGTTGAAATTTCTTTATTGTGGAATCAACATTACAAGTGCTACACGTTCTACACATGTGTGTGTAGTTTGTTTTGAACAACATAACCTCATTTTTATATTGATATAGTTTTTTATCAAAAAACGAACGATTTTTGATTTTAATATAAAAGATATGCTTATGAATATTTAAAATGTTTTATGTAAGTGCCCCATCAGGACACATAGCCCTTCATACTTTAGAAGAATGTATTTTAACAAGACTGGAATATTTAGAACTTCTTTATTTACGTAGACCGCATGAACTCAAAGGGAATTTTGAATATTTATTAGAATTTTCGAATTATGATTTCGTCGGCCACTTTACTTTACGGTAAGTTATTCTTAATATAATATTTTAATATACATATACAGAAATACTTTTTTTAATAAAAAAGTAATAAAAGAGTAATTTTAAATTTTAATAAAAAACTTAAAAAGAAAATGTGCTTTTAACAAATGAATTATTGCAGATTATTGGCGGCTACTTCGAGAGAATTTTGCCATTATTGGCTGACGAGAGAGACATTACTATTTAAATATAGATTAAATCAAATTTCTCCCAGACAATTTTGTCGATTGTTTAATAGTATAGCACGTCAGGTTAAAAAACGTGAGAAAGTTAATTCAATGATAGACTCAACCTTGACTGAAGTTTGTGAACATTATTTGCAGAATGATGTCAAACATTTTGTGTGCCAAAATTTTTTAACCGAATGTAAAGAACATCCCCTAAAAGGTTTGTGCAATTACAACTTATTATTTTTTCACTAGCAAAAATTCGAGTGGCTAACTTCTTTCTTACTTTTTAAATTAAAATTAACAATTTTAAAAATTTTTAATTCAATTTTTTTTCATAAAAATAAAATATGAATTGGAATATAATTTTAATACTATTGTTACTATAATAATCATATTCATGAGAAAACTGGATTTTTATGTTTTTTTTTTGTTTGTCTCGTAAACTATAAAATTACCACGAATTTTAATACAAACATTTCAATTTTTTCTATTTCTGACAATAATTTCTTTTTAAATCATTTAATTTTCTAAGAACTAGGTATCAAAAAATTATGACTTATAAATTATTTAATGAATAATTTTTACAATTTTTATAAATACTAGATTAATAGAAGAATTTTAGTTAAAAATACTAAAAAAATTGAATTTTCGAAATGTTACAAATGATTCTAAAAATTCAACTATTCTCAAAAGTTATAAAAATTCTCCGCAAGATTTCAATTATGTTCAAAAATTGAAAAAAAAAATTCTCGCCAAAATTTTAATTATCTTTATGAATAATAAAATTATTCATCAAAATTCAATTATTTTTAAAAAATTTGAATAAAATTTTTGGCAAAATTTCACAGGAATTTAATTATTTACAAAATTATTAATAAATTTCTTCGTAATAAATTCAATTATTTTCAAAAGTAATAAAATTTTCACAGGAATTCAATTATTTAAAATACAAAATTTCATTAAATTTTTCGAAAAATATCGATTATTTAAAACGATTTTTATAAAATTCGTCACAAGAATTCAATTATTTAAAAAAATTTATGAAACTTCTTTTCAAGAATTCAATTATTTTTATAAATAATGAAATTCTTTACCAAAATTCAATTTTTTTATAAATAATAACATTCTTCACAGTAATTTAGTTATTTTTATAAACTTAAATAAAATTCGTTGCAAGAATTCAATTATTTTTATAAATTATAAAATTCTTCATAGAAATTCAGTTATTTTTATAAACTTGAATAAAATTCGTTAAAAGAATTAATTTATTTTCAAAAGTAATAAAATTCTTCGCAGAAATTCATTTATGTTCAAAAATTGAAAAATTTTTTTTTTCAAAATTTCAAGTAGGTATCTTTATAAATAATAAAATTCTGCTCCGAAATTCAATTTTTTTTTTAAGAATAATGGATAAATAGAAGAATTTTAGTTAAAAGCATTAAAATAAAATAGAATTTTGGGAAAGCTACAAAATATTTCAGAAATTCAATTATTTACAAAAGTAATAAATATTCTTCGCAGAATTTCAATTATGTTCAAAAATTAAAAAAGAAATCTCGTCAAAATTTCAATTATCTTTATAAATAACAAATTTATTCATCGAAATTCAGTTATTTTTATAAACTAGAATAAAATTCGTTGAAAGAATTAAATTATTTTCAAAAGTAATAAAATTTTCAGAGAAATTCAATTATGTTCAAAAATTGAAAAAAAAAATTCTTATCAAAATTTCAAGTATTTTTATAAATAATAAAATTCTTCTCTGAAATTCAATTATTTTAGAAAAATTTTAATAAATTTTTTAGGAAAATTTTAATTATTTTTATAAATAATAAAACTCATCGCAGGAATTTAATTTCTTTTTGAAACAATATTTTAGTCGAATTCATAAAAAAAAATGTAATTATTCTTAAAAATATTAAAATTTATGAGAATTATTTATTTATTATTTATTATTTATGAGAATTCAATTTTAACAAACATTCAATTATTCAAAAAATTATTTTTTTTTTAATTTAAATAATTGAATTCTTTTAGAATTTTCTAATAAAAATTTATTTAAAAATGAATTACCGAATAATTGATTTCTTATTTATGAAAATAATTGAATTCTTGTAACGAATTTTATTACATTTTTTTTAAATAATTGAATTCTTTTGAGAAATTTTACTACTTGTAAAAATAATTGAATTCTTGCGAAGGATTTTATTAGGATTTTTGTAAATAATTAACTTTTTTTTGAAAAATTTTATGGTAATTTAAATTATTCCAAAACATGAAGAAGGCGATTACTCCGAGTCGAAGACTCGGAGTGATCGATATATTCATGTTATGTAATAATATTCTTATAAGTTGTTTTATTTCAAGAAGGTTTGAATTTAAAATTTTTGAAAATCTTAATTCCTGTGGAAATAAATAAATAATATTGATAATAATAATAATAATATTGATAATAATATTGATGTTTTCGAATAATTTTACAATTAAAGAAATTCGTAAATAAAAATAACAGAATATTTTTTTTAACAGTAAACTTCGAGATGCTTCCAAAAATGGTCGAGTCAAAGGAAGTGGAATTAACAAAAGGATCGGCAATTATTTATTGTTCGCAATGGAAGGAAGTTCTAATTGAACTATTTCAAACTTTCCTAGAGTCAGAAACGTCCGATACGGATTTTTTTAAGGAACTAGTAGCAAATGCTTCACATCTGACTTATTTGCGTGAAAGACTGAATTTTCAATCGTCAATAAAGGAGGATGTTATTTGCGGACATTTAACAGCTTCAAATTTACAAGTGGAGTCGTTAAAGTTTCCTCCGTGCATGAAACATTTACATGACGAATTACGTCGTAATCATCGATTAAGTCATTATGCACGTTTTTATTATAGTCTTTTTTTAAAAGAATGTGGCATGAAAATTGAAGAAGCTTTAGAATATTGGAGAAATGAATATTCGAAGCCACATTTAAATGTATCCGTTTGCTCTCATCAGTGGCAGAAAGACTCTCGGAAATATACTTACAGTATTAAACACATGTACGGATTAGAGGGATCGAGAAAAAAATACAAATCGCCTACTTGTAATTCTATTTGTGTAAGTATTTTTCACTTTATAGTATTTCTGGAATTTTCTATTCTTATGTACTTCCAGGCTTCGCTGCCCTCCCCTTAAGAAGGGGTAAATATACCCCTTAAGAAGGGGTAAATATACCCCTTCTTAAGGGGAGGGTTCTCCTATATTTTTAATTTATATCAAGAAAAAGAAAATTATTAATCTTGAAAGAACTTTACAGAGTGCGAATATTAATGCAAATTACGAAGGAGGATGTCCTTTTAAGGAGTTCGATAAAAGGAAATTGGAACAGATTTTGTGTTCTATAATGCCAAAGAGTAAATTAGAGGAGTTTTTGAAAATTGCGCCCAGCTTGCAACCCAGAAGTGCATGTCGAGCCTTTTTAAAATTAACCTGCAATAAGGTTAACAATAATCTGACTGTCACTAATCCCTCTGATTTTTACCTAGCTAAAAATAACGTCTTATAAAATTTGTCAAAAACTTGAGTTTATCTCAAGCTTTTTTTCGTCACTATTATAATATAGTAAATCGATTAATTTGGCGTCCTCATAGGGAACTTTGTTGTAGTAAAGAAAATTCAATTGTGATTTTTACTTTTTGAGTATTTCGATTGATTCTACGAATAGTAAACTATAATTCATTAAAATTCATTAACTTTCGTTAACCTTTAAAAATCACTATTTTCAAAACCTTTATAATTTCCAAACTGGATTCAGGACCAAAATTCTTAATATTCCGTAAGTTTTTACTTAATTTTATATCATTTTCCCATTATTTACTAAAAACAATCGCAAAATTATGTTACTTTACTCATGAACTTTGGAATACTATTTTATTTATTATTTTATATTTTTAAATGCTTATATCAATTTATAATAATAAATTTAGACATTCTTAACAAATGCCAATATTTTTTGTTATGTTTTTGTACTAAATTGTATGCTTTTTAAATTATTTTCTACTGGCGGAAAACTGAAAACATTTTCATTGATCTTTACATATTCTTTTTGATAAATTAAATTTAAATTACAAATTAAGTTTCATTTTTTAAGCAAATTATTAATTTATTAGTTATGATAGTTTAATATTTGTAATACCCATCGATTATTAAATAATTAATTAATTAATATCCATATGACTCTTTGATTCCTGTGAGGAAGCACTGCATTCTTGGAATGAACACAAAAATGCAGCTTGATGGCTATTTTTGGATAGTCTTTAAAATATTTTTTTCCAAAAACAAAGAATGAATTTTAAGTTTCATTTTGACATTTTACCACACAAACATTGTGATTTATATTTTTTGTTTATTTCCACATTTTGCATTTTGTTTTCTATTTAATTTTCATTAATACTTGAGTATTGTTTTACCAAAAATAGATTGTATTATTTACATTTATGATACAAATAAATATTTAAACTGTACTAAAAGTATTGCAAATAAGTAGATGGAAAATTTTCTACATTTATATTTAAATTGTACTATTGATGTGCAAATTTGTCTAGTCCTTGTTTTATAACTGCATGTGACACACCGTCCTTAACTAATATCGAGAGAACTCCTAATTTTGTTAAATCCACAATATTCCGTTGCTCGTCGTCAAAGAATAACATATCCTTAAAATCAACACCTGAATCTTTTTTAATTCTGCAATAAAATTACAAAGTTACGACTAAAGGTAGATTAATCATTTCCTATTAAACGAAAATTTAATTCATTAATGTTCTCTCCCCTTTTGGAGATTTGAGACCTAAAGTAATAATTAAAAAAATAATTCGAAAATATTTTTGAAGAAAAACTTACTTTGAAAAGTGTGTAACTTTCGATCCAGGATATATTTCTTTGTAATTGATATATTTATCCCAACCGAATAGGTTTAATAATTGATTAGCACCTTTAATTTCTGAGGTTCGCGATGCTACACCTACTTCATAACCCTCTTTTACTAAATTTTTCAAAATTTCTGGAGAGTCTTTGTAATAACGTATTTTTTGGCCATGAGCATCTATAACATCGGTTCCTTTTCTGAAACATAACTTTTTTTTACTTACTTTCCTCCCTTTCCTGTTTTTATTGCGCAACATAAACGTGAATTTTTTATTTTGAAGTAAAAAGAGGAATCGCAGTACTTTTTTTCTTTATTCGAAATAATTTATTAATAAATAAAATTAATTAATTTAATTTAAAAAATAAACATTGTTATTCACGAACCCATATCTAAAAGGAGGTGTAACATGAGTATCCACCCAAAAAGGCCAAAGAGTATAATCTGTAATTTAATACATTATACTTCAACACCAAGAACATAGTACAATCGAATGAAGAATAGAAAATACAATTTTTAAAAATGAAAAATATCCAATCCAATATTAAAATTAATATTTTAAAGAGAGTTTCCAAAGAATCTAAAGTTTCCAAACAATAACATAATTTTAATCAATATAGGTACCTAAATCGAAAACTATTATTTTTGGCCTTCGGACACTTGAAGTCATTTTATCTTCTTTTCTTTAGTAAGTATATTTCAAATTAATGAATTATTGTTATTTTTGAATTTTAACAAACTTGTTTATTTTCGATTCAATGTTACAAAAATCATGTGCGTCATGTGTCACTTCTGTCACTTTTTTAAGAACCTAACCTCATAGACTTAAGCTCAGTTCATCTTGTGACGTTTGTTTTTATAACTTGACCAGTAGAGTGCAGAACCACTATGAGATTTTATGGCGCAAAATAAATGAAAGTTTGGTTTCGTCAATTACAAAGACTCGATTTTCTGACAGTAAAAAAAATGTTTGAATTTATTTTAGCTTGGCATAGAATACTATACTTTGGGTTCTGAACTTTTGGATTCAGAACCCAGTTTTCTAACAATCTGACTAAGTAATTCCATTTTTTCTTCATGTCTGCGACGTTTTGCAGATTCTTTTTCTTCATGGATTTTTCTCCAGGTCTCCATACTGGATTCGTGAATCTTCCATTGGAGTAAATCTTCCATCCTCTTTCTTTTTCTATTCTTTGGAGCATCTAAAAAAATGTTGAAAATTATATTACAATATATATTATTGTACGTAATATTTTTTTTTATTAATAATAATATATAGGTATATATAAATTTATAATATATATACTTACTTGAGCCTATTTTTTCTATTATTTCCATTCGCCCTACACCAAGTTTGACCTCCGGTTGCATACTGTCATCAATAACTAGTTCATCTTCAAAAATCAAATATTTCATTATAATTATTAACAGACACAATTATTTTTAAAAAATTGAAAAAAATTATTTGTTTAGTTAAATTATTTTCAAAATTTTCAATTAAAATCATTCAAAAAGTATGTTATTTAAAAAAAGCACAAAGAAATTCTTTAAAAGAATTTAATTATTTACAAAAACTCTAATAAAATTGTTTAAAAAAGTTTAATTTTTATATCAATAATTTTAAATTTTTAATAGTAAAAATATTAATTACAATTATTAACAAAATCGATTATATTGAATAAATTAAAGAAATTTTTTTAAGCCAACTCAATTGTTGTTAAATCCTTTAATAGGATCTATTCTTCGAAAGAATTGAATTATTTTCTAAAAATTTTAATAAAATTTAAAAATTAAATGTTTAATTCCAATTATTGAGAAACACGATTATTTTAAAAAATAGAAAGAAATTGTTCATCAGATTCAATTACTTTTAAAACTTTCAATTAAAATTATTAAAGAAAATCCGTTATTTAAAAAAAAGTTCAAATATGATTTTTGTTATGAAATCCTTTTAAAATAAAATTCAGTGCAAAAATTAAATTATTTTCTGTATAAAATAAAATTCTTCTGAGGAATTCAATTATTTTCAATACAATTTTAATACACTTCAAAAATCACATATTTATTATTATAGTTATTAACAGTCACGATTATTTTAAAGAGGTGAAAAAATTATATGAAAGTATTTATTCTTGGAAAGAATTAAAATATTTTCTAAAAATTTTAATAAAATTTAATAGTGAAATGTTTTATTTAAATTATTGAGGAACACGATTATTTTAAAAACTTGAAAAAAATTGTTCATAGAATTCAATAACTTTCAAAAATTTCAATTAGAATTATTAAAGAAATTCCATTATTTAAAAAAATGCAAAGAAATTTTTCAAAAGAATTCAATTAGGATTTTTAAAAAATTTAATAAAATTCTTCCCAAAAATTCAATTATTATTTTTATTAATATAGATATTTAATTTTAATATTTACCATTAGATATCACGTTACACATAATATTCTGACCGTTCATCGATTCGACGATTTTATTTCTTTCATTTAAACATAGACTTTTAAAAATAATGTTTTCTTGGTTTGCCATAATTGAAACAAAATTTCACTGCACTTCAATTTACTTTCGTGGAATTAACAAAACTGAAAACTCCTTTGCGTAGGAGGTTTTCAAAGCAAAGTACATGAGGGGAAATTTTTGAAAATGGAAGGGATACAAAAAAACGGGGTAAAAATTGGTGAAAAATAGTAGGGATTGGAAAAACCCAACATCTGTGTGACAAATTTTCATGTTTCGCAAAAAAAGAGGATCGATCCTTTACTTTACAAATTTAAGGGATATACAAAAGACCCATAAAACACTAAATGTATTTTCGGAAAAAGGTCCTGCCTTTAATCCTTACAAGTTTCGGTTAAATGCGTTTTGAAATAAACTTTATTTTTCATTTTTATTACTTTGCCGACCGTTCCCCGTTTTGAGACCAACAGACAGTTTTTATGTTTTTAACTATAAAAATAAAATAACTATAAAACTATTTACAGTTTTTAAATAAATTAAGCTGCCCGACAAAAATATATGTTACTTCTTTTAGTAACAACAGATTTTTTGCAACATACTTAACTTATGTATAGAGTTCAAATAAATTTCTTAATAATAATTTAATAAAATTTCTCTTTCTTACCTGTACCCTTAGCTCACAGCCTTCAGCTCTATGAATAAATCGACTCGGAGTAATCGTTTTCCTCATGTTTTATAATAATTAAAGGTAACCGAGTGATAAAATAATTATTTTATATTACACAAATATTACAAATTAAAAAAAAACATTTTAAACATTTTTTTTAACTTCTTCAAAATTATTTTCATCATTTCAATTCAATTATTATTTTCTAGAATTTTTAACTAAAAATTCTTCTTCAAATCAATTATTTTTAATAATTTTTGAAAAAGTACTTCTTGAGAATTTTCAAATCCATTTGTTTTCAATATTCAATTATTACAAAATTTCATTTATTAGTAAATTCTTCAATTAAATATATTTTTAAAAAATAAAAACTTCAAATAATATAAAAATAATTCAGGGTAAGTCCACTGACTTTCGTCTGAGAGTCGTTGCGACCATATTTTTAAAAAATCTAATTTTCATATATGTGAAACTCGATGATTTTCTGAGTTCATTAATCATAATATTATGTTATAAATTTTATTTCGTTTAATAATATTAATTATCAAAAGTAGGTGGTTCACGATGTGATTTCGTAACCTTAAATTTTGCAACTTTTTAAAAGACGTTATTATTCAAAAACTATGAAATATTAGGGGTTGGTACTTACCACAAATATAAATCTTTCCATTCTGCACGTTCTAATGTCCAAAATGAACTAAAAATTCTATTATTTGTGGACGAAAATTGATTTTAAAAATTTTTTTATCCAAAAAAATTACACTTTTTGTATCACTTACAACTTTTTTGTCGGACCTCAAAAAAATTTGGGGTTTTGCAAATATTTCTTTAAGAACATAATTTATCTTCCATTGAAATTTGGCGAAGGTGTTTTTCTTCGTTTTCGAAATAATAATTATAAAAAATTTTGTATGCAAAAAGGTTAATTCTAAGACTTGAAGTTGATATTGACACTAAAATAACAATGCTTGTTGTTTATTTCAAGCATTATAATTAACCTATTTGAACAAAATTTTTTATAATTATTATTTTGAGAACGAAGAAAAACACCTTCGTCAAATTTCAATAGAAGATAAATTATGTTCTTAAAGAAATATTTGCAAAACCCCAAATTTTTTTGAGGTTCGACAAAAAAGTTGTAAGTGAAACAAAAAGTGTAATTTTTTTGGATAAAAAAATTTTTAAAATCAATTTTCGTCCACAAATAATAGAATTTTTAGTTCATTTTGGTCATTAGAACGTGCAGAATGGAAAGATTTATATTTGTGGTAAGTACCAACCCCTAATATTTCATAGTTTTTGAATAATAACGTCTTTTAAAAAGTTGCAAAATTTAAGGTTACGAAATCACATCGTGAACAACCTATTTTTGATAATGAATATTATTAAACGAAATAAAATTTGTAACATAATATTATGATTAATGAAATCAGAAAATCATCGAGTTTCACATATATGAAAATTAGAATTTTTTAAAATATGGTCGCAACGACTCTCAGACGAAAGTCAATGGACTGACCCTTCAATAAAAACTTTTTCAAAAAAAATTAATATAAAAATTCAATTATTTCTAAAAATTCAAGCTATATTGCTTTTAATATTCAATTAAATAATAATAATAATAATAATTTAATTCTTTGAAGAAATTTAATTAAATATGTATTGACAATAATATGTACTTAAATTCTATTAAATAAATAGGAAGGCTTTTTCAAATAATTGAATTTCTTTGTTGTTTATTAAAATTTTTATAAATAATTACATTTTTCGAGAAATTCCATTAAAATTGTATTAAAAATAATTGCAATTCTGCAATGAGTTTTATTACTTGTGAAAATGATTGAAAACCTATGAAGTTTTTTATTATTTACGAAAATAATTGAATCTCTGTAAAAAAAATTTGATTATTTATGAAAATAATTGAATTATTGGAAAGAAATTTATAAAGAATTTGTAAATAATAGAATTTATGTGAAAATTTTATTATTTAATTAATTTAATAAAATAATTTATCAAATAATTGAATATTTCTTAAAATTCAATTCTCATAAAGAATTTCTTTAACAAATTTTTAAGTAATTAAATTCTGTGGACGAATATTGCAGAGGTAGGTACTTAAAAATAATTGATTTTCTGCGACGAATTAAAAGTTATATATGAAAATAAGTGAATTATTGCATCGAATTTCATTATTTTATTGAATAATTGAATGTTTATTAAAATTGAATTCTTTCGGCAAGTTTTAATAAAATTTTTAAGAATAATTGCATTTTTTGTTAAAAGTCTATTTAAAAAAAAATTTTCTTAAATAAATAAATTCATTTTTAAATGAATTTCTAATAAAAAATTCTACGAGCATTCAATTATTTCAATACAAAAATAAATAATTCATCCAATAATTGAATGTTTCTTAAAATTTAATTTTTACGAAGAATTTTATTTTCACCTTTTGAAAATAATTAATTTCTTTTAAGGAATTTAATTAAAATTTTACTAAAGTTTATTATATTAAAGAATTTTATTAAAAAAATTTTAAAATAATTGAATTTCGAAAAATTTTATTTATATAAGGCAAAAACAAAATTCCTCAATGTCCAAGTCAAAAAATGAATTTTCTCGAAACTTTGCCAAAATTTTACTATTATTATAGTAGAAGTAGGTATACGTACGAATTATTATTGAATTTGATAAAATATTTTTTGAGTTACGAAGCTTCAAAATTTTTACTCTTTTCAAAAAATCCTTTTTTAGATTTTAATATTTAATATATGTGACGCGCTCCCAAGAAACGTACCTATAGATTTATCTTGATTACAAGTTTATTTTTAATTATTTGAATTTGAAACCAATTTTCATTGAATATTTTGGATATAATGAAGACTTGAGGATAAATAATTTTTAATTAATGATTTTCTTTCTGTATTTTTACTCTCTAAAATTTTATCTTGGTATTACGCAAAGACTACTGAACTGATTTAAAAAAATAATTAATGTAAAGATGAAAATTTTTAATTTATATAGGAAATAAAAACGAAAGTAGCTTATTTACGACATTCCAGTGTGCAATATGAAAGAAAAAAACTTTAATTGATAAAAGACAATGTTACGCTAGGTACGTATATCTATTTATTTGTGTTATGTATATTATGTACAAAGTAATCTCTAAACTTACTTTGGGCGCAATGGATGAACTTTTGTATATATACATCTATATTATTTCAGATACACCAAAAATTCTTCACAATTGCGAAAGGTATCCAGTATATTAGAGTACTCGATCGAATTGTTACTCTTCTTTTCATTTTTTTTCTCTTTTGTATTTTTTTTGTGTCCTTTATTCATAATTATTTTTTTTTATTATCGCATCGCTTTTAGTATACGTAGCTATTTCTTTAAACCTTTCCCGCTAACTTGATCATTTTTTTTTGTATTTTAAATTTTTAAAAATTCTCTGAATATTATTTCGTTTAGTGTACATTTAATAGTAACTCGCATTAATAACATTCAAAATTTTTCATACATATTTTTTGTTTTTTTTCGTGTATACTCCTCTCTCGTAAAGTTGTTTATAATATAGCATCGATATTGAAACAAATTTACAAAAATATGTGTATTATTATTATTATTCTTATAGGCGGCAACTACTGAAATTGTGTCGTTACAAGCATAAAATCGAAAGCTACACTCTTAACGAAAATCAAATCATTTTTTTTTTTGTAATTATACAAAGTCGCATATTATTCGTAAATTGTACGCAGCTCGTAAAATGTTAACCGCTCAAAAAATTGTCTCTCTCTCTCTCTTTTTTTTTGTCACGCTTTAATATCATTCTGATAAACAGAATGAGAAATAACAATTCAAGCAAGTTTCGATTTGTTCGAGCATTATTTCTCGTAATTAAAAAGGCACTGAACATACAGTAAGATCGACAACGGATCAAAAGACTGTACATGGATATTTAGAACCTAAAGCAATATTTGGATATTTATTTTTTGACAATTTAATTATTTATTTGGTTATCGTACATTTACTTTAATGCTCTATATATATTTATATAGTTTTTAAACATCAAGAGTCGTAGAAAATATTTCAAACGACGAAACATGCAGACTTTATATTTTTGTTTTTCTTTTGTCTCGTGTAATAATAAATTAGCTTTCGTTAAGAGTGTCAGTGTACTTTTTTTTGTTGTTTTTTTTCCTTTTATCATTATGATCGATGCAACTAAAACGCTACTACAATCCACTTTTTTTTAAGTCTTTCTTATAAATTACAAAATAATTTTCAAACTTTCTTCAATATTATTTTGAGAACACTCAGGGAGAGCTTCGATGGATCAATTTCTTTTTCAAGTGCAAATAAATGAAAACGACAATTAAAAATTAACGTGGATTATTTAAAAAAAAATGATTTATTTTTTACTGATAGTTTTACACGAGGAAAGAATTATAATAAAAAAGTAAATTCTTCAAAAACTATAAATAATTATTAAAAATTTAAAACAAACAATATTTACAATATTTTTATATTATTATTTATATTATTTATATATGTATATATTATAAATATTATTACTTCTAATATTAATAGTATTATTATTATATTATAATTATTATTATTAATATTATATTATTATTATAATAATAAACCGTACTATTTAGTAGATTTCTCTTTTATCAATTTTTTCTTCTCCACTGGAATTTTTTTTAAAAAAAAGAATAATATTTTACCATTAAAAATATACGCTAAATGCTATAGTTACGAATCATTTTTTTAGTTTTCAAAAAAAAAATTTTACAAAGCGTAGTGACTAAAAAATGATTTTTTAAAAATTAATCTTTCCC